GTGTGTGTGTGTGTGTGTGTGTGTGTGTGTGTGTGTGTGTGTGTGTTCATTTTGGGGGGATAAGTTTCTACGGTTAGGATCAGGACAGCTGTGGTGTATTTAGCATGTGTGCGTGCGTGCGTGTGTGTAAAAATGACACCCTGACAAGTCTTGCTCCCCACTTGTGTGTGTGTGTGTGTAAAAATGACACCCTGACAAGTCTTGCTCCCCACTTGTCCCCCACCATCCTGCTCCTTTCTGCCCCGACTACGTTGGTCAGTTTCTTTGATATCTTGCCAGTGTTTCCATGTGAAAATACAGGCAAGTACATCCAGAGCTGCTGCCCCAGCGAGACTGGATGTGGTGCTGAAGGGGTGCTGTTTCCTGAGCAAGGGCGCCCCTAGGGGGAGCTCGGGGGCTGCTGTTGTGAGTCCCAGGCCGCAGCCAAGCCCCAGCTCCGGCTCGGAGCCCACCGCAGCACCCCCTCCCCCCAAGAACCTCGGCAGATCTTTAGTTTCCCTTTAACTTTTAATAAAGAATTGGGTGAGCGGAGGACCAGGTTTACATCCATCAATCCCTACCTCTCCTTTGCATCTAGGCCATTATAATTCCCTCAACGCACTGCCACTTATCCCAGCTCCTCCCTTGGTTTTCCTGCATCCCATCCTGATTTCCTCACCATCCTTGGATAAATGCTGCCCTTCTGAGCGCCAGTGATGATGACTAGGGTGGTGGGGGGAGTTAGTTGAGTTCCTGGCTTGAAGGGTGACTGAGGGCCGTGGCCATGGGGGCTCCACCATGGCCGACCAGAAAGCCTGCTCTCCTTTAGGATTTCAGGTTCAGTGCCACAATTTTCTCCCACTGTACCTAGGATCTCGTCATGGGATCCTTTCCAGAGCCGTGGGCGGCAGTAGCTGGGAACCATCTATTTTGTTCTGGTCTCTGCTCGTGATCTAGGGTCACTGTGGGCCAGAACCGGCTTTGTTTCAGCGCATTGGACTAATTGTTTCCAGCTGTCTGGCTTTTCCTCTGGTCCTGGAGAGACCAGCAGCTGCGCCGTAGATGGCCGTGCTCGAGAACAATATGAGCCCTGTGAACTTGTCAACAGTTGACCTCGGTGCCCCTCCTCAGACACTGTCCCGAGGTGTGCTGGCTACATTGTGGCCAGGAATGTCTCCCTTTGTGGATTAAGGACCCCTTGACCAGGCCCCTGGGAGCCACGCTGGAGCAGTGAGCGCCTTGGACGCTGTGACCGCAGAGCTGAGAGCTGCTGAGGGGGCGAGGGCCAGCGCCAGTCGAGAGATTTAAACCACTGTTTGCCCTCGCTCCCACCTAGGGGCTCATGCCCACCTCGAGGTGGGAGCTTCTGGGCCCAGGCCTTTTCCCTCCAGCTCCAGGACAGCGCTGGTCTGGTGGGCTCTCCTGGTGCCGCAGAGGTTAGGCACCTGCTCAGGCTGCCAGGCGTTTTGCCGGCAGAGGTGTCCTAAGGCCAAGGCACTGTGCGCCAGGCATGGCCCCTAACCTCCCCTCTGGGAATCCATGAATGAGTTGGAGGATGGGGCAGCCTTCCAGAAAAGCTGGGCAGGCCTGAACACAACCTCTTCTTGTCAAGCCAGTGATGGCCTCCTCCCAGGAGTCCTGGCCGAGCTGGCCTGGCCCAGTGGGCAGCGCTGTGAGGCCGCAGGGGTGAGCAGCCGGCCAGCCACGCCACATGGCTGTGCTGGCATGGAGCCCCGTGGTCTTGCCAAACCGCTTTAGTGCGGCTAGCTGAGTCCGTGGCAGGGACGGGCAGAGAAGTACGTCACCCGGGAGGAGCGGATGGGAGGAAAAGGGAGGAAGGTGGAAGGGAGATCAAGGAAATGAGGAGGGGCCGAGTGGGGGTCGAATGTGCCCAGATGTTCAGGCCTGGCCTGATTTTCGTTATCTCAGGGCCTGGGCTGCCAAGAGGCTTCAGGAAAATACTGGCATCACATCTTCACTCCCACCAGGGTCAGTGCTGTCTGAGGTTTGGATTTCCATTCTCCCTCGCCCAGAAAAGCGGGCAGGATGCCAGCCCTGGAGAAAGGCATAAAGCAGCAAGCAGACATTTCCTGTTGGACAGGAACTCCGAGCGGGCATTGTGGCTTCAGGCCACCTGCAGGCTCTTTCTAGATGGGCTAAAGGCAGAACTCGGAAACAGTGGCCGGGAGGGAGGGTCCTTGGCCTGGGCCTATTTGCCCCTTCCCCAGGCACTGCCATGTTCCCAAGTTGTAGGGGGGTGAGGGGTGGGGCTGTCATCTGCTCCCGGTCATCTTACCTTTCTGCTGGTGTGTGTGTGTGTGTGTGTGTGTGTGTGCAGGGATGTTGTTCTCTGTGCCTCTGTGGTTTAGGTAACCCTAGACAGCATCTTGACCCTTGTGAGACCCATTGTGTGCCTCGGTGAGAGCGCCCACCACCATCATGTTCACTGAGCATTTCATATGTGGGGTTCCCTTCTGCTTCACGTGTATTATTTATTTTTAAATAATCATTTTATTAGGGGCTCATACTAATCACAATCCGTACATGACGTCATTTGTGTCCAGCACATTAGTACATATGTTGCCATCATCATTCTCACAGCACCCGCTTTCCACTTGAGCCCTTGGTGTCAGCTCCTCATTTTCCCCCTCCCTCCCCACTCCCCCCTCCCGCTTGATAATTTATAAATTATTATTTTATCATATCTTACACCATCCATGTCTCCCACACCCACTTCTCCACTGTCCGTCCCCCCAGGGAGGAGGTCATATGTAGGCCTTGTCATCTGTTCCCCCTTTCTCCCTCACCTTCCCTCCACCCTACTGCCATTGCCTCTCTCTCCACTGGTCCTGGGGGGTTCATCTGTCCTGGGTTCACTGTATTTCCAGTTCCTATCTGTGCCAGTGCACCTCCTCCCGCCCAGCCGGATATGTAAGGTAGAATTGGGATCATGGTAGTGGGGTGGAGGAAGCATTTAAGAACTAGAGGAAAATTGCATATTTCATTGTTGCTACACTGCACTCTGATTTGCTCCTCTCCTCCCCGCAGCCCTTCTGCAAGGGGATGTCCAATTTCCCCCGGATGGGCCCTGGGTCCCCACTCTGCACCCCCCCTCATTCACAATGTTGTTATTATTTTTTTGTCTTTGATCCTGATACCTGACCCCTTTGCCGCCTTGTCATCTTACAGGCTGGTGTGCTTCTTCCATGTGGGCTTTGTTGTTTCTCAGTTAGATGGCCTCAGTTATCTTCCGGCATGTGGGACCCCAGATTCTGTGTAATTTGACAGCTTGGCACCATCAGCTTTCTTCACCACATTTGCTTATGTACTCGCTTTGTCTTCAGCATTCGTGTCGGGGTAGGCTGGTGTGCTTCTTCCTTGTGGGTTTTGTTGTTTCTTAGCTAGATGGCTGCCTGTTTGTCTTCAAGCCTTTAAGACCCCAGGTGCTGTATCATTTGATGGCCGGGCACCATCTGCTTTCTTCACCACTTTTGCTAATGCACCCCCTTTGTCATCAGCGATCGTGTAGGGGCAAGCTGGTGTGCTTCTTCCGTGTGGGTTTTGTTGTCTCTCAGCTAGATGGCTGCTTGTTTATCTTCAGGTCTTTAAGGCTTCAGGTGCTATATCTTTTGGTAGCCCAGCACCACTCGCTTTCACCACATTTTCTTGTGCACCCATTGTCTTCAGCGATCATGCCAGGCAGGTGAGCATCTCAGATTGCCGAATTATTAGAACAAAGTGTTCTTGTGTTGGGGGGAGTACTTGTTCACACGTATTATTAACCCACTTAACCCTCCCACTCGTCCAAGAGGTGGGTGCTCTTGTCCCCACATCCAGAGGCACAAGGAAGAGAAAGAAATCCCATGTCCTCCCTGGGGTGACTCTGCTCCGCTGTCCCTCCCTGATCCAGAAGCGGAGTGGACAGGCATAAGCACCCGGTGGCTCAGGCTTGTCTCTCACCGTGTAAACCTAAGACATCAGCCAGCTTTAGAATGCCCTCATGACCCCCAGAGTCCCAGGTCTGTGTCTAGCCCAGTCCTGAGCAACCACTGATCTTCAGTTCCGCCTTTTCTAGAAATTCCGTCTCAGTGGAACATTGACCACAGTCACAATCACCAATTTACGCGTTCCTCTCTGTCAGGCCTCTTTCTCTGAGCACCCGCTGGTTTTGACGTCTCATCTCAGTAGCTAGTTCCCCCGTCTTTCCGTGTTGTTTCGTTTGACCTTCCTGTCTGCGTATCTCTGCCTCTGTCCCTGACACACACACTTCTCTTTCCTCACCAGACCTGCTCCGTGGAATACGGCACCCACCACAGGGCATCGTGGAGAAGTGGGGGGTGGGCACACAGCATGTCCCAGAAGCGCTTCCGGGGCACAGCCAGGCAGGTCCAGCCGTGGGGGGACCCCAGATGTGTCCCCACAGTGGTGGGGAGCTGGTGGGGGAGGAGACCGTGAAGCCCAAAGACTTTATTCAAAGAGATTGAAAAGGAACAGAAGACAAAGCTGGGCAAAAAGTCCGTTTACTGAATCAGTGGCTCAGCGCCACGTGGGTGAAATGAGGCCTAAGTGGGCACCCAGGGCCTTTCGGCCTGCCAGGGCTGGGGGTCGCCTTGGGCTCCAGGGCTGAGGGGCAGCAGCAGGGTCGCCTGCTGGTGGCCTAACAACCTGGGCTGCTTGGCCTGTGCTGTCTGGGACCCAACTGGTGGCTGCTGCCCAAGCAGGTACCCCCCCAGAGAGTCACGTGCGGTATAATGCTCACTGCCAGCCACTGGCTCCAGTTTCAGTCAAGAGGAGGGGAAAGGAGGCAGTGGGGATGCAGACGTGGTGGCCTGGGGCAGAGGTCTCTGCGGCCAGCCCCTTGGCTAGATGACCCTAAACGCCGTTTTCATCTCCCACCTCGGCACCTGGGAAGTGAGAGGGTCTCTCAGGCTGGGCAGCCACAGGGGGCCGTGGGATTTGCCGTGCAAGGACTTGGCATCGCTGGTCCCTCCGGCTCCCACCCCGGCTCCAGGAGCCAGTGCCTGGACCAGTGTGGGGAATCCTTGGGCTGGGTGCAGGCTAAGCCCCTCTCAAAGGGAGCCTCTGAGTGGTTCCCCACCTGCCTATCCCACCTGGTGCCTGTGCACATCACAGGCTGAGTAAGTAGAAGAGCCGGGTGATCCTCCCCCCTGCCCCCCAACACACACACACACACACACACACACACACACACAATCTCCTGACTTTGCCAGGGGAGGGAGGCGCTGAGCCAGGTTTCCAAGAAGTCTTTCAGAGAACCAGTGGACGGAGGCAGAGGGACACATACAGGTAAGGGGCAGCATGGCGGTCGGGCGCGGATGGAGTGACAGCGTGCAGTTCTAGGGGGAATATGGTGTTTCCTGACCACTTAGAAGCCTCTTGACAGAGGCAAGCAGGGTGTAGGAGCCCATGACACCCCACTCCTACCTGAACCTTCTCTTTCCTGTCAGTGTCTCCAGGAAGCCCCACCAGCTACCCCAGCTGGGCATTGCCCACCCTATGCTAGCTGTCCTTGACGATGCTGCCCTGGGCCTGGTTTGGCCTGGAGGTGCCAGGCTGCCCAGCACCCGGATCTTGGAAGGATTGCTCTTCCCCTCCCCCCTGGCTTTGGGCTTGGTCATGGCAAAGGGTCCTTTATGCTCATTGGGGGGCAGAGTCACGAGACAGTTGTCAGCCCTGGGACACACACAGGGGGCCTCTGGCCACTGGAGGTCACTTGCGGTTATTTGTGCGGCTGCGGGCTGAGCTGGTGGGCAGGACACCTGGGCCTCAGAGAGCCTGGCAGGCATCTCACCTGGTGTGCCTCACTGGCTTACCTTTCCACACCCTGTGTTCCCCACCCAACCAGGTGGCAGCTGTGACTCAGCTCTGGCAGCCCCACTTAGCAAAGTGCTACTAACTAGGTGAGTCATGCCAGGCTCGTGGAGACCAAAGGAGAGGGTGGCCCAGGGGTGGGGTGGGGGAGGCTTAGGGCTCTGCTTCGATAAAGGGCCTGGCAAGAAGCCAGCCTGAGTCTCTGACTGCGTGCCAGGAAGCTCCTTCTCTGGGTCCCCCCCTGCCTGGGTGGGCCCACCAGCGTGTGGCGTGTGCAGGCTGGGACAGGTGTCAAGGGTCTGGGCCTGCACTGCCGGGGGCAAGCTGGGGGGTGGGGAGGGGACCACCAGCAGGTCCCTAGCTATCAGTAGAGGGTGGCCTCTGAATGGCCCAACTGTCAGTGATGGGGACAGCAGTGCAGGGCAGGGGATTTGTTTGGCCCTTGGGCTTCCCATGCCCTCCCCCGAGAGCCCGCACCTCACCGAGTCCTTCCCATGCCCCCTGGGTGCCCTTCTTCTGCCCTCAGGGACCTGGCTCTCCTGGGGCTGTACGGAGGGGGCAGGGTACCCTTTCCCCACCCTGCAGCCAGGACCCTATAGTCCCCTGCGGGGGGCAGGGGGGAGTCCGCGGCGAAGCCTGCCTGCGTCTGGCTTGTGGCTTGGAGACATGGGAGGCACCGGCGCATTATGGGCACCAGGGGTCGCCCCTGCCCACCGAAGGCACCAAGCACCGACCTCACCAGATGGGGGTGGAGGTGTTGGGGACCAGCTACACTCAGTCCAGGTCAAGATGGGCGCCTTCTGGCGGGGGGGCAGAGGCACCCAGTGTTGGGGGCAGGCAGGCCTGGGACACAAAGGTCCTTCGGAGCCTCACAGGCTCCCTCCCTGGCTGAGGCTTGGGGACTCTGCCCGGCCATACTGTTTGGGATTGGGGACGGTCACCCGCAGGCTCTGCGGCCTTGTGAGGGCTCCAGGGGCACTGGGCCCTCTCCAGACTCCGCTGACCCCATGGCCACACCCCAGACAGGGGCTCAGGGGTCTCCTGCTGTGAACTGAGGGAAGGGCCCCCTCCACACATTCTCTCTGAAAACGGGCAGCCAGCTGGTTGGCAGGGCTTCGGGCCCACCTTATAGGGAACTGGGCTCTCGGGGTTCCCCCGGCCTCACCCTGTGACAGGAGGTGGGTGGGGGGAGGCGGATGCAGCTTGGTCCCCAGGCCCATCTTTTGGGGGTTTCTAAAGAGTGTCTGACTGCACCAAAACCACCAGGGACCCCTCTGTAGAAAAGAGGATTCCAGGGGGAGCCCCTGAGACCTGAATCAGAAACTCCGCGAGGGGCCCAGGAATCTGTACTTGGGGCTGTCCCC